TTCCTTAAAAAACTAACAATAGAGCTAACATATGATCCAGCAATCCCACTCCTGGGCATATACCTAGAGAAAACTATAGTTCTAAAAGATACATGCACCCCAATGTTCATTGCAGCACTATTTACAATAGCCAGGACATGAAAGCAACCTAGATGTCCACCGACAGATGAATGGATAAAGAAGATGTGATACATATATACGATGGAATGTTACTCAGCCATAAAAAAGAATGAAATAATGCCATCTGCAGCAACATGGATGGACCTGGAGATTGTTATACTGAGTGAAATAAATCAGACAAATACCATATGATATCGCTTATCTACGAAATCTTAAAAAATGGTACAAATGAACTTATTTACAAAACAGAAAGAGAGCCACAGATGTAGAAAACAATCTTATAGTTACCGGGGCGGGGGGGGGGGGGGGGGGGGGAGGGGAAAAAGGGGAGATGGATAAATTGGGAGATTGGGATTGACATATACACACTATTATATATAAAATAGATAATAAGGACCTACCGTATAGTACAGGGAACTCTACTCAATACTCTGTGATGAACTACATGGGAAAGAAACTAAAAGAGTGGATATATGTATATGTTTAACTGATTCACTTTGCTCTATAGCAGAAACTAACAGAACATTGTAAATCAACTACACTCCAATAAAAATTTAAAAAGAAAAAGAAAAAAGACTGATCAGGAAAAAGAAAATGCAAACAAAACAGAAGAACAAAAAATATAGAATGGAATAAGGAATTATGAACCATATGCTAATAAACCTGAACATACAGATGAAACTGAGAAAATTATAGAGAAATATAAAAAATCCAAATTGACAACAAGAACTTGAATAGACCAATGAGCATTACATAAACCAAAATGGCAAAGACATGCCCTTAGAGGAATTTTGAATTTAAACTGAATTAAAAGTTTTATAGTTTGACTACACTTTCAGAATATAAGTTTTATATAAATTGTTCCACAAAATGGAAAAAGAATAAAATTTGCCTACTTCTTTTTCTAACAATGATTCCAAAATCAGATGAGAATTCAAGGGAAGAAAATTTTTCACTTTTGATTATAGATGTAAAAACACAACAAAAACTAAGTAAGATATTAGCAAGCCAAATCTAACAGTATATATATATATATATAAACAAAGGTGTATCCAAGGGATGCAAGAACCATTCAATGTACTTCACAACATTAACAAAGACAGATTAGTAAGATGACTATATAGAGAAATCCAAAAAAAAAAAGCATTTGGTAAGTTTAACACATAACTTAAAAGAAAAACTGATGGCAAACTAGGAAGGTAATATCCTTAACTTGATAAAAATTATATATCTAATCCAATAGTGTGTATATATATATATATATATTTAAAAATCACAATTAATTAGTATTTCGTCAAGGAATGCAGGGATGGTTCAATATTAGAAAAATCCATCAAGGTATTCTGGCAAATGAATAAGGATAAAAATTACATGGACACACACACAGAAAAGACCACTTAATAACAATCATTTATTTAATGAGAGGAAAGGGGAAATTTCTTAGTAAAAACTATCAACCTTCTTTAACTCGATGTTTAAAATCGCTCTACAGAATGGATGTACACAGTTCTACACTTATTCTTGCAATATGTAAGGGTTTTTATGTCCCTACATCACCACCACCACTTGGCATTATCAATTTTTCTAATTTTGGCCAGTCTTAAGGATGTAAAGTGACAGCTCTTTTATAAAATCCCATGATCATATATTTGTTACCCTTTTGGGCTCCTCATCTATGAACTATCATTCTTTGTTTTCTTTACAATTCAGCAGTTTTTGTATATTCGAGGCATAGATCCTTTGATGGTTTTACACAAGCATCTTCTCTGAGCTTGTCATCTGTTTGTCATCCTTTATTGACAGATATGATTAATCACTAAATACTTTATAGCTTGCATAGCTACTGTGAATAGTATCTTTTCCTTTTAATTACATTATCTAATTGGCTATTGCTCTTGTGGGAAAATGCCTGAAGTTTTTATAAAATTATTTTATAGTAAACAGCCTTAAACTTATTTTTAATGGTATGTTGTTTCTTTTGGCTTAATTTTTATTTTTGGCCTCGTGGCATGGCTTGTGGGATCTTAAGTTCCCTGACCAGGGATCGAACCCGGGCCCACAGCAGTGAAAGCATGGAGTCCTAATCACTGGACTGCCAGGGAATTCTCTCTCTTGGTTTTTTATAGATGTTCCTGAACATCTGAAAATAATGACTTAAATATGAGTTTTACTTCTCACTTGCCAACATTGATAAGCTGTTTCTTTTTCTTTCCTTATAGTCTGGATCAGAACTTCCAGTTCTATATTAAGTAGTAGCATGATACTGGGCATAGCAGGTCTATTAGTTAGGATACTGGTTTGGCTACTTTAGTAGAGGCCAAATAACAATGGCTTCAGTAAGATGGAAGGTTTCTTTCTTTTTTATGTGAAGGTCTGAGGTAGCAGGCAGTTCAGGAGATAAGTGGCTGCTCCATGAGATTAATGTGCTTAAGGTACGTTGCCCTTTCCCACATAGACAAAACTGGTTTGCCATGACCACTGGCTATGTTTACATTCTGGTGCATGGGAAAGAGGAAATTAGAAGAGGAGGGTGGGCTCTTTCCTTTTAAGGATGTGGCCTGGTTGTTATTTATTTCTGCTTCCATCCCACTGGTCAAAACCTAGCCACTTGTTTACACCTAGTTGCAAGATAGCCTGGAAAATACAGTCTCTTACCAGGAAGCTACAGGGGTTCAGAATGTGCGGGGGACAGGGGTTCTGTAATGAGGAAGAAGAATGAAGATGTATATTGTACAGCTGTCTTCTTCCTATGTGGTGGTATATAACCATTACCAAGTAAAAGAAATTTCACAGATTAAGAGTTTCTCCAATTAAAAAAAAAGGGCTTCCCTGGTGGCGCAGTGGTTGAGGGTCCACCTGACGATGCAGGGGACACGGGTTCGTGCCCCGGTCCGGGAAGATCCCACATGCTGCGGAGCGGCTGGGCCCGTGAGCCATGGCCACTGAGCCTGTGCATCCGGAGCCTGTGCTCCACAACGGGAGAGGCCACAACAGTGAGAGGCCCGTGTACCGCAAAAAAACCAAAAAACTGTATCACATGCTCTTCTTGTATCCATTGATATACCATGTATTACTTCTTACCTTCTTCAATGCAGTGAAGTGTATCAATGGATTTTTGTAATGTTGATTACAATTCATATGCATATAAGCACATGAGTGAAGAACTTATGATTTAGTGTATATAGTATTTAGTTTTTCTAAGTATTTGATTCAAATATATAGAACTGATGATGTTGGGTATTATGTTTTGCACAATCTGAAGCACTGAACCTAGTGAAAATTCAGGCTGCAGTGCGGGAATTAGCACTTATTTAAAATTTTACTATATGCCTAGAATTTTCATATAAGTAAAAAATAGTTGACATTTGAAAACCTACCATGTGCCAGGGACAAGTTATAAATAGTTATTATTATTCTCACTTCATGAGAAAACTGAATCACAGAGAGGTTAGGTAACTTACCTAAAGATATACAAACAGTAAGTAGAAAGACTAGGCTCTGAAGCTTCCGATCTTCCCACTCTGTAACAATGCCTCTCAATTATTAGTTTTTCAATGATGATAATAAATTATGATGATGACAGACAAGAGGAGTTGGGGGTATTATTGCTTAATTCTTTCCTAAAATTTCAACTCAGAACCATAGGGAACTTTTCTATTTGCATGGAAAATTAAAATGTGAATTTACTAGAAAAACTGGGATTCATTTACAGAATTTCATTTTACTTAAAACTTTTTGGGAAAGTCCTACTATACAAAATTAGGAATGCCACAGGGCAGGTAGATAGAAACAATCTGTGGAATTTGAAGGTATATTTGCACAATACCAATATAGCTCTAGACTCTAAGGAAAATGCCACTTAGTCTCACATTCCCAAATTAAATATGTATTTATACTTAAGAGTGGATATATTCTTTATTCTAATTTCATGATTTCAAAATGATTCAAGTTGAATGAGGCAAGCTTTGTGAATCTCAAAAAAAAAAAAGTCTGCCTGAAATGAAATATATACATGATACTTGATACTTCTAGCTTTCAGGGCTTTGAATATAGTTAATAGATTAAAAATCAGAAGAAGTCTTTGATGGGAAAAAAAATTTTGAAAAGATTTTGCAGTGAAACAGTATGTTTTCTGGACTGAGTAAAAATCAAACAATTTTCTGAAAAATGCTCTCTTTCTTTGTAATATGCCATCTGTTGGGTCATACCAATAGGGTCAAACAGGAAAAAATATTTAAAATTCTTTCAAGACATAACAAAAAGGAATAATTCACCCATCAAATACAAATATACTGTTTTATTCTAAGGGAATATTTCTGTGGTTTCTGCAAGATGAAAACCCAAGTGTTTAAAAAACAAAAAAGAACAGAATGGATAATTTAATGTTTTCTCTTATTTGATATTTTTTCTCCCCTGGGGGGGAAAAATGTAATTTAACATAATTTTAATAAAATTTTAAAAAGCAAATAACCAGACATACATATCAATGGCTATGCTTATGAGGAATGACCAATAATTAATATTTTCTTTTACGAATTAATTCAGGATCTGGACAACTGTGTGGACTAACATGCAATTGACATCCTGGTACAGCCATTTACCTGGATATTGGCTGTTCTCAATTAAAAGATACAGATTTTTTTTTCTCTCTAGTGTTTTACAATAGTTTATCTACTATGCCATATATTTGTTTTTCTACAGAAGGGGAAATATTAGTGTTTATATAAACCATAAAATTTGTATAGTGGGGACTATTACACCTGATGTTTCTGGATAGTTTATTGGCAGACTTATCAGACAATCCAACTGTTTTTCCTCCATATCAAACAAGGTCTGGAAGTAAGAAGTTTTCCAGTCAGAAATGACAAACACAGATGGAATTAATCATACAGAACTGGGGCAGATTTACTTCTTTCACATAGTTCTTGGTAACAAAAACAAAATTTGTTACAGGCAGAGGGACAGAACCGTAAGTACACAATGTCAAAAGGCCTACTTTTAAATTTTTATTGTAGTTAAAGAGTTTATTTATTGAAAAAAACCAAAAAAAACAACCTGTCACCCCCATCTGAAAAATGGGACATACTGTGAAGTCTTTCAAGGTTAAAGTTTCTAGGAGGCTTTTTAGACTTCTCTCATTTCTATTAAAGGGTCAAATTAACCTCAGCTAACGAAATTCCGTGATTGGCCAATATCATAAACGCTTTGATTCAAAATTTTGTGGGGAAGAAACAGAATGGAGATGAAGAAGAAGGATCCATATGCCAAACACACCCAGGACTTGCAATCCTCATAGAACTACTAAAACAGCTAGAGTCTGGAATAATGCCATAAGAAGACCTGCTCGTGGATATGAAAGACAGTCAGTGTCTTTGTATCCTAACCCCAAAATCCTATTTTCAAGTTTCTTTGGGCAACAAGCTCATCTTCCAAATGCTTTATATAGGAATATACTAGGACCTCTTCTACCATAATTCTGATAGCTAAGTAACACTGTGTCTTTGTGGAATCACCCACAGGCTTGCCACAGTAAGGAGAGAGACTCTTTGTGAAATGACAAGGGCCTCCAGAAACTGGTGCAAAAGACAAAATGATAGGAACTATCTGGGAAACAGGAAGATAAAACAGTGGGATAAAAGCTGCCATTTGGGGATAAAATGGAAACAAAAGGAGAACCCCCATTTCTGTGTACCACAGCTCATGCTGTGAGACAGCAGCAATAAAGGCTGACACCCAGAGAAGTGGGCATTTTAGTGGGTTTTCTGCAAACATTTCAAGACACTTGGGGTCTAATGGGCTCCACAGATTTTCTGTGTGCATAATCATTTTGCAGAGTTTCAGCCCCTTGAACTTAATTTACCCACATCCAGACCCACAGCTGAGAAGGCTAGACCCAGAAAGTGAAAGGGACACATTACTGCATGAACAGCAGTGAAGGCCTTTTCCTCTGATTTGAGGGACCCCATGGCAAAAGCACCAGAGGCTTCTATCCTTCACAGAATTGGCTTGGCAGTGAAAATCAAAATCAAGACCACTTCACTCTCTACCTTTTAAAAAAAGTTGAATATTTTTATTGGGTCTTCAAGTCTGGGTCCCACAGTCCTCATCTGATGCCACTCTTAGCTCCGTACTGATTTCTCCCCTGACTTTTACATAGGGCTTGCCCAAGTAGCCTACTGCAGCCAAGGTTTCACTCCAAAGCTACCTCTCTAAGGTCTAAGGTTACTATGGTAGAGTTTTATACAACAGTTTTCCTTAAAAATATTCCACAATTTGTTATTCCCAAACAAAATAAGATTATGCACCACTCAGAGAAATTGGTTAGTCATTCTGAAGATGTCTAAGAACTATATCACTGCCAAAGAACAACATTTCTCAGTTCATATTCTTTCCTTCAATTTTCATTTGTACATCCACACTGTGGTTCACGAGTCGTCTGTTTTCCATTATCTTATAATCAAGTCAAGAGGACTTGGACTTATAGATCGTTTTCCAAAGCTGGATGCATTCACAGTTTGGTGCATACCAACGTGTATGAAAATAGGAACCCCACTTCCACTTTAATCTGATAATTCAACATCAGAGTCTTCTGATTTGGCTTTGGCAAGTTCTTCATGTACCTCCCTCACCATGAGAATACGTGTTAACATGGTGTCCAGGGTCCCAGGGTCTATTGGAAACGTGGAGTACCACATGGGGCTATTTGGAACACAGGAGCGCTCAGGTTGAAGGTAAAACACATCATTCCTCTGCTTCACACTTTCAGAACTATCCACAGGAAAAAAAAAAGAAAAAGAAAGAAAATTGGGATCAGAGAGTATAGGAAATATGTAACTACTCTTTAAATATAACGGCTCTCAACTTTTCCATACTGTGACTAATAAACAATGCACCCACAGATATAAATAAGTTTATAGGCATTTATGCTCCAGGAGCAACCTGTGACTCTGTATTTTTTCGCCTAGACTCAAGAATCACACTGGATTGAAAGTGAGTATAATGTTAATAGATGACAAAGTGTAAATCTTTCAGACTTTAGTACTTAAAACATTACCAGGAGTAACAAAAAATTCAATTCACATGTGACACTATGGCTGAGAACCACATATCCTCAGTGCCCAATATCCTGGAATGAATCCCAAGAGCACTCAATACACATTATCAAAGAACAAACCCAGTGATTATATTTCTTTGAGAAAAAAATGCTTTAGTGTGGATCTTACAACTCTTTAAAGTCATAAAGTTTCTGTAAGAAAAACACCACTCAAAAAATTTCAATTCTTTAAAAATAAATTGCTTTCCTATTTATAGAGTTAGTACTACAACTTTTCCCCTTCTTTTCTATATAAGTAATAAATTCACAGCAGTTTAGATATCACATAAAGTTGAGTAACACTTGTAAAGATCAAACAATGGCAGTGATTCTTGCTTTTCAAGAGATTTTTGGGAAAAAAATTTACAAAGGTGAAGCAATTTGTTTCTTGGTTCAAAATCCAGGCAGATATGAGAATGGGGAAAACATAAAATTGTAAGTAAATCCTTGTTTAGAGTTACAGACCAGCTACATTTCTGAAATCTATAGTATTTTAACTATTTTTTGCAGTGTGTTTTATCTAGTTCAGAGGAAAATCACTTACCATTTGGACAGGTAAAACTCATAAAGTCGGACTGGGCATCTTAGTGGGTTGTCAGTATTTTCTGCCATCTCCACACCCACTGGAACCTCATCATCTTCGCTTCGTTTCCTCTTGCCAACAGTTAGTTTATCTTGAGACAGGAAATTATAATCAAAGTATTAGAAAAGTCTTTCTTCGAGTCTTAAGACACCCAATGAGCTTTGCTTCTAGTCACTCCCTCTCCCTTCCTTTCACTTACTCACTCGTTCGACATTTATTGAAGACCTATGGAGGCACCAGATTAGTGCTGGGTTAATCAAACAAAGTCCCTGTCCTGTAAAATTTATGTTTCCCTTCTCACCAAAGTGGAGGCAGCATGACAAAAAGCATTGATGCTTGAGAGTACGTCTCAATTCTGAGCCTGAATTTAAGAGATTTTATTAGGCATAGGGTTGTTAAGCCACAGCAAAATAAAGAGAAAAAAGGGTTCCATATGTTCTTCTATAGTAGAGATCAAGACAGAAGTTGATCTCTTTCTCTGAAAATATTTCTCCTGTGGGGCACCCGTGTCCACTGGGCATTTGTTTAAGTTTCTTTCATTTGCATAGTATTATGAGAAATGAAATCTTTGCTGGGAAAAGAAATTCTCAGTAAGTTGACCATTTGATAAGGAAAGAGCAAACCCTTTTTCACCAACAGAATTTTGCAGAGGCCAAGGATTATCAGAAAGAAGCCGGGGTGAGACTTCCCTGGCGGTCCAGTAGTTAAGACTCCGCGCGTTCCAATGCAGGTGGTGCGCGTTCGATCCCTGGTTGAGGAGCTAAGATCCCACGTGCCTTGTGGCCAAAAACCCCACCAAAACATAAAACAGAAGCACTATTGTATCAAATTCAATAAAGACTTTAAAAATGGTCCACATCAAAAAAAAAAAAAAAGGTCCACATCAAAAAAAAAATCTTAAAAAAAAAAAAAGTGGGGGTGGGGGGGAGCTTCCCTGGTGGCACAGTGGTTGAGAGTCCGCCTACCAATGCAGGGAACACGGGTTTGTGCCCTGGTCCGGGAAGATCCCACATGCCGCAGAGCGGCTGGGCCCGTGAGCCGTGGCCACTGAGCCTGTGCGTCCAGAGCCTGTGCTCCACAACGGGAGAGGCCACAACAGTGAGAGGCCTGCGTACCGCAAAAAAAACAAAAAGAAGAAAGAAAGAAGCCAGGGTGAAGACATGGAAGGTAGGCTGTTTCTTTCCCACTTTCTCCATTGAATTTTCAAGAGAGTATTAGGTGGATCTGAAAACCTGAGGAAAAAGGTTTTCTTGTTTTTTTCTTATAGATACTTTTAACAACTGATCCAGAACTTTCCCCAGCCTCCTGTATTAGTTATGACTTAAACAAAAGTCATCCAGTTTTCCATTTAGAGACTACCTAAATAATTTGCTAGCTGCTCATCCAGAAAAAGAAGCTAAATTTATTACCAATCTGGTAAAGCACCTAATCAGAAAACAGAGAAATGTTGCCTCCTTGCCTCTGCCTCCCTGAATTAATATCAATTAAGAGCATAAAGTGGGCTATATATAAACACAATAAAGGAAAGAGGACATGGATACATGGTGAAAAAGCAAGATAATCTTAGTATTTTATAAAGTAAAGGAGCAACTGAGAAAAAAGTTAACACAATGATGAACATCACAATTATTCTTTACAGATTTTAGTTTCAGTAATTTAAAATTCTCACATTGAAAACATATACTCCACTCTTTTCCCAAGGAAGTAACAGCTTCATTTGGGGAATTTTAGAACTTACAATTTTCTTCAAAATTAATAAATGTAATTTCTAGTTCCATAATAACAACATTAGTTTTTTAAACATTAAAAACAAACTATTACTTAATAGGCTGTTTTTGGAATGCAAGACCATAAACCTTCTAATAAAACAGTCACTGCTGATATTATTCTACTGTGTATGAAGGCAGTATACTCTAGGTCAGGTTTAAGTTCCTTCATATTTTGACAACGTTAACTAAGACGGAGCACTCTGGTAAAAAAAAAAAAAAGTTTTAGAAACAGTAGATGTAAAAGTTAAGCAAGTTCCTTTTAACTAGGAATTGACCTATCAGTTGCCTCTAAATCAGTGATTCCCAACCTTGGCTTTATATTTAAGTTCCCTGCAAAGTTTTAAAATGCAGATTATCTGGGCTATAGACCAATTAAATCAGTATTTCTAATTTAAAAGCCAATAAAACAGGACTTCCCTGGTGGTCCAATGGTTAAGACTCTGTGCTTCCACTGCAGGGGGCACAGGTTCAATACCTGGTCTGGGAACTAAGATCCTACAAGCCATGCAGCACAGAAAGGAAAAAAAAAAAAAAAACAATAGAAGTGATTCCTCTAATTTTGAGTTGAGCCTTTAACCTGGCCCTGACAATAAAGAAAAGCATTTAAATGTTAAAGCTATACTCTTCCATGTCTAGAATTTGCAATTACTCTTCTGTAATGTGTCTATTTGAATATTAATAAATTGACTTCAAATAGCAATCTTACAAGAGGGGGACAAGATGGCACAGTAGGAAGATCCTGGGCTCATCTCATTCCATGAACACACCAAAATTACAACTACACATAGAGGAACTATCCCTGAGAAAGACCTGAAGACTGGCAGAAAAGATTTTCCACAACTAAGGATGAAAAAAAAATCCTCACTAAGATGGGTAGGAGGGGTGGAGATGGTATCTGGCCAGGACCCATACCTCTGGCACAGGGATCCACAAGCAGGGAGGAGATCAAAACTGTAGAGGTCCTCCTGAGGAGCAAAGGGTGCAAACCCCACTGAGCTCCCCAGCCTCGGGGGAACCATCACCAGAAAGACAAACCCCCATAACAACTGGCTTTGAAAACCAGTGGGACTTATGTCCAGAGAGCTGTAAGAAAATGAAACTCCACTCTAAAGGGCACATGCAAAAACTATCTTGCTCCAAGTCCCGTTGCAGAGGAAGTGGTTTGAAAAATACCTGGGTCATACGTAAAGGAGATTCATTGACTGATTTTATGGTGTGTGCAGGAGAGTCAGGGATCTTTTGTAATTTTCTCTGGTTATGTAGCCACTGGGCAACACCAGGATTTTTTGTTCACCTTCTACACCTAGCTGGTACAGTGCTGGTAGGCACCATTTATGACTCTCCACATCTCACCCCAGGTTCACCTGTAGATCCACCCCAGTTGACACTCCTCCAAAGCAACTCCATACGCTATCATACTCAGCAGGTGGCTTCAGCGAGCACTAGAGCCCAAAGCATCCCACCATCCTGCCACTCCCAGCAGGCTCCCTCAGCTGGTACTGGAGCCCCTCCAAAAGCAGCTCCCACCCTAGGAGATGGCCCCGCACACCAGAGTACCCGCAAGTCACAGCTGGGCATTATAGCCAGCTGTGCCAGGGGCCAGCCCTGCACACTAGCACACCCACAGCCATCATGGCCCAGCCACAACAGGAGGGTACATGCAGCCTTGTGCTACTGGGCCTCATAGGATACCTTTTACATAAAGCCATGCTTTTAAGAATGGGAGATGTAGCTGATCTATCCAGTACATAGAAACAAACACAGAGAGCTAGGAAAACTGAGGAGACAAAGGAATTGTTCCAAAGGAAAGAACAAGACAAAATACTCAAAAAAAAAAAAAAAAAAAAAAAAA